CTTTTAATATTCATATAATTTTAGCCATCAAAAGTGATTTTTCTTCCCATCAGCAATGCGGTGAAACAAAATAAGCAGTGCTTTATTTGAAAATTTTTAACAGATTTCTTTCACTGTTAAAGGTAAAGAAAGAAGAAAACTTTTTAATGCTGTAATTTTGTTTAAGAGACTAAGAATTTTAATCTCATGATGAATTGATTTAAAAAATGCATATCTAGCAAGAACAAGTAAACTTTTTTGTTATTCTGTACAATATCTTATTTAAAAACATTTTATAAGAACCTAAATATTTATCTTGTTTGGCAATATGGAAATCAATGTAACATTTTGAGGTATAGATTGTGAGTCACATAAGATTTAAGTAGAGACAAATTAGTAAAAGATTCGTAAATACGTTCTACTTTGAATTATTTTATTGCTATAATGGTTTCAAAGAGTGCAGTCAAAATAAGTAGTGCATAAAATAACTAAACTCTAAAAACCTTCTGGATATCTTTATATAAATATTCACAAATAACTATGACAATGACTTTTATTCATTCATATGAATAGTGTGTATGAAAAATAGAGCAATGTCATTTTCACCAGTAGGTTTCTTTTGTACTTGTTTTAAAATAAAGAAAAAAAAATGTATATCAAAATTTAAGAACAAAAATTTAGTTGTTAATAATCTAAATAATCTTTTAAGAAAGATAATAAAAACAAATTTAAAATTTAATATAAATACTGCATTGTCTTTAAATATGCAATAATGGTATAAATTTTTAGTGATTTAAATTTGACTCTGAAAACATCATTACATTTTTTGTATAATTAAAAATTAACCAAAAAAAAATACTTCATAACATAAAAGAGATTTAATTATTTTTATAATTAGTAATTCAGAGTTTCACATTTGAATAATGGTGAAAAGAAGCTATATGAAAAAGAAGAATATTTGATCACAAACAATAACACTTTTATTTGAGCAAAGATAAAATGTTTTCTAAAAGTACTATTTTTCAAAAAAATTTGAACAGTTTATGATAAGTTATTAAAACATTAGCAAGTCTGCATAAATGGAAGATCAGTTTATCATCACAGAATCTTACAAGCTTTTAATGCTAGCTAATTACATAAAGAAAACTTTTTTGACAACTTATTTATTTATTATAAAACATTTAAGTGAAATTTAAAGCAAATGTCTTCTTTAAAAATTACAGATATTTTTATTATTAATATATCTGCTTGGCAACGGCAAATATTTATTTCTGCAATATAACAACACAGTAAATCCGCTAGCATGCTATAGCTAAAAATCATAAGCAGGTTGTATATAAAAAGTTCTGACATCCCTTAGGACACATAATTTTCCATCCCAGAAAAAATAATAAAGTAGAATTAGGGCAGCCAACACCGTAAAAAATTTTTGTTCTAAAATAAACCCAACCTTAAAATATTTTTTTTACTCTGGTATTAATAAAACAGTAGAGGGAGATAATAATTCTGTAAGTATGTCATTGCTTCCAAAGTTATTTGCTCATTTATAAATCCTGCAATATGTATTTTTTAGAGTTACTGGTTTTACTCTACCCTAATCATCATTATGAACGTAAGTACAGTCTAATGATCAGATTATCAAGTTCTAAAACTCATTCTTAATGGTTTGAAAGGATGACTTCAAATATGCTAATTAATTAGTGCAGACGATATTTTAAGTTACGAAGACAGATACAAAACCGTTCTTTCTCTAAAAAAACGTACCTTTTTCTGACAGATTCAGAGAATATAAAGGGTAGCCGCAATCTGGGAAATATGGTCCCCATAGTTTGGTCAGGAGAGCGATTCAGACTTTGAACCCCGTAATATTAATTTTACTTTTTGCGTATTTCACCATATCTAAAGAAATTTTGCAATGAATTGAAAAAATTTTGCACACAATTATAAAATTCGTTTATCCAAGGTTAATTCGATGAAAAAAAAAATTAAATATTTATAATTTTTTACATCATTTTAAAGTATGTAATTTTACATGACAAAATACGAAATTTGAGTGAAATCGATTGAATAGTTCCTGAGAAATCGAATTTAAATATACATTTTAAAATTCAATTTCTCAACAACAATTCAACCAATTTATTTACTTAAAGAGTACTGAACAAAAGCAAGAAGTTCATTTGTTTGATTTTGTTCAGAATTCAAGTCAGAAAAAAACATTGATTATGTATTGCACATGACAAAAGCATTAACTAAATTTTTAAATTAGAACGTGAAGCTATATTAAGTCATGCAGTTGCACCAAAAACAGAATCGGCTAAAGAAGAAAGTCAACTGAGATAAGTTCAAACAGTTCTGTGCAAAATTGGAAATCAGCATTACTTCCAATAGCCCAAGTCTATGCCATCGACTCCAGAGGAAATGAACATTTACAGCACTAGAGAAATATTGAATGTCATATCTTATGAGAAAATGACATTATGTTAAAACTGCAGATATTGCATCTAGGAGGCTAAATCAATATCTAAATATGAATTGTGGTGGGTAGCCCCTTATTGCTCAAGAAAATCTAAAAACAATTGGCCTCTGGACAGTGTTAAATCTAATGATAATTATATTCTTCTTTCTGAAGAATGATCTAAGCAACTGTTTTTCTTCAATTGAAATAAAAAGGAGAAACAGAAGGTAAAGAATTTCTCTGATGACTCACTCTCAAGTCACATGGTATTATTGTCAGGACAAAAATAATCAAAAGGTGTGTGCTCTACTTACATTACACTTCTATGTTTTAACCTCATATATATATATATGAACTAAAATCATGTTTCACAAATTACTTATGACATTATCTTCATTTAAAGAAAACTAAAAATGCAGTAGAATTTATATTTTTTAAGCTACCCATTTGGAAAAAAAATCTACATATAGCCATTTATTAAGTGTTACTTATAATATGCAACAAATCATAATTATCTTATAAAGATTATTAAATGTCAAGCATCAATTCAAATATATTTAAGTGTGGCAATAGTTTTTTTTAATATTCAAACTAAAAGTTTAAGCTCAAGAACCAAGTCTTCAGTTAAAAAAGAAATCTATAGCTAACACTAATGTAGGAAAAAATTGCACACTCATGTAAAAAGTGCATTTCTATGTAAATCTAGTTTAATATGCTTATACAAAAGTATGCATAGAAAATTTATTAATATTTTAAGTAGAAGTTTCAAGATAAATGTTTAAAAAGAGATAAAAATTGTAATATTATAGAATACTTAAAACTTCAATATATTCATGATTATTTATATTGAACTTTTATGAAAATGATATATAATATTTAATAAATTACATTAAGTTTTATTATGTTTAATTAAAAAAAATCCCCATGAAAATTAATACAATATGCAACACAAAAGTAAAATCAGTAGATATAAAAAGTAATGAAAAATTTGCAATACATTTACACTGGGATAAACACCTAATTATTTTAACTTTAGATATTTTACCTAATTAATTTTACTTTACACTTGGATGTACTTCCAGCAAATTCTTAGTAATGTGTAGTAAATATGCTGCAACACTATAGAAATTTTTAAGCAATAAATTCAATTATTTAAAATCTTTGAAGCAGAAAGAATTTTTGATCTCGAAAGATAAAACTAAAATGCTATTAATAACATTTAAATCATATACTAATTACCTTTAAACACTAGTTCCATAGCTAAAATAGTTTTTGTAAGTATAAAGATATCATTAAATGTGAAGTGACAAAATCTATCTTATATTTTTACTGAGGATGTGAAGAAGACTTATCATAATACCTGAGCAAATTGGACTAGTTCAAAATGAATTTTACAAGTCACATAAATTGAAAAATATAATTGTAAGAGTAACCTTCCATAAGATTAAACTACTTCTTTTCATATGCAGTTACAAAATTGTTTTCGTCAAAAGCCAAAATTTAAAACAACCTTTTAAAATTACCAATTCACTCCTTAAATAGAAGTTTTAAATTAAGCATGTTCAAAGATTAATATTACTTATAAAATTAAGTAGAAAAGTAACTATATTTTTAAGAAATTGAACACTAAGGTAAAAAGAGATATGGAATTAGAAAAATTAATAGATAGGAAAAACTTATGCATTTTTTAAAAAACAGTAATATTAAAATTTTTTCATTAAGTCATTATTTTACATTATATTTAATGTAACAAAGAGCTTATAAATAGCTAGATTAGTATAAGCTTCACTGTTGATTGTCCCTAATTCTACAATAGAGAATGTGCTAAGCATTATTTATATTTGATTTCTGAAACAGCAAGAAATTTGTCTCTCTCTGAATTAACTACTAGCAGAAGGGAAAAAAAGATATCTTGTAGAATTATACAATGATATTTTCAACTGGAAACATTTTAAATGCTTATTTCGAAAACATCAATATAAAATTGCCTAGAATCTGAAGTTTTTATATATATTTTTNATATATATATATATATCAATGTATTTGGACATAGCATATGAAAAGAAATTTTAAGTGAACATGCAGTCTAAATATAAAAGATATATTTTGAAATATTACTGTATATGAAGGTAGGGTGGCGTAAAAAATATTTGAACAATGAACTGTTGTTTTTATGAACAGTAGCAGCCATAAAAAATCACGGCAAAAAATAGATGCAAGACAAAATTTCACATCACATTTTAAAATGAAACTGAAAAATGGAATTTGTATAACAATTTAAAATATTCAAAACCATTATTATATTTATATGGAGCACGTTATCACTTTTATACAGCAATCTTAGAGCTATTCATTACATTATTCAAAAGTAGTTAGCTTCGTATTAAAAAAAATTAATAAAAGTACTAATAGCAAAAGTAGCGAATGTGTTTACTAGGAGAATACAAATTTAAATTGAGCTTTCTTATATGCACACATGCATTTTTTAAGATAACAATTATTTAAATATTTATTGCTAGATCATGCATGAAAATACTATCTATGATAAAAATTGACAGGATATCTCTCAGTGTTTTAAAATGTATTGATTACATGTATATAAAAAGTATCTAAAAACTGATAACAAGGCAATTTTTCAATGCTTACTTTTAAATTTATATTCATAAAGGAGGGTAAATACTAATAATAAAATTATATATTTTTTGACATTTATACCATTTTGGTAAAAGTAGATGAAATTAGACAATTGAGATGAATCTAATATAAAAATCATGCTCAGATATGGCTTATAGAAACAAATAACATGGTTTGGATTATTGAAGAAGTTTACATAGTGTCCACAATTTGTTTTAACAAATGCACTAGCAAAAAATAGAATTCACAACATTTTGATATGAATAATGAACAGCAGAAAAATTTCTTTTTCAAGAAATATAAAAATTATTTTTCTACATAACAAAACCTAATTAGAGTAACATTAACAAATTATAAATATATGTGAATTATTTGCACACACACATTAGTTACATACAGATATAAAAAAGTTTGTATAAATAAAGTACTTTAATGACTAGTTATCAATGTAAACAGATATAAACATATGTTTAGTCATTAATAATCATATAGGAACATAAAATTATTTTAAGAAATCTTTCAACAGGTAGCAAAATGCTAAAATAAATGAAATATTTAAATTTGTGTAAAAACTCTTTAGAAATAAATAAAAATAAAACTTTTTGCTTTAACACCAACGGAAAGGAACAGCTCTCGGACGATCAGCTCCTTCCTTTACAAGTGGCTTGTGAAACTCACGTCCAGGCCTAGAATGAATGGTTGCCCAACAATGCTCACAATAATATTGTAAACATGTAACATTTGCACAAAAAAATGGAGCAAATTTCCCCCCACAACGAGATCCTTGACATTCATCACACATTTGATCATCTAGAACATATGGCTTGACTTCAACCTGAAAAATTATAACATGAAAAACCATATCAAATATTTATTTATCTCAACATGGGATAAAGTACTAATATCATGCAAAAAGCAAAACATTCATCAGTTATTTTTATGAAATAGATTAGTTAATATCATAGCTAGTTGTTTAAAATAAATCTAGCTTTCACTTAATTCTTTCAAACGAATAAATAAAGTTGGCACAATAAGGCTAGACCATATAAGGGTAGGAAAAACTTTTGTTATGTTGTCTGTACCACACAAAAAACATTTCATACATTTTCCAAGGATAAAAATAAGAAAAATTCTGAAAAATAAAGAGTTCATATGTTTCATATTTTTATATAACCATACATTTTGTTTAAACTGTAATTTTTCAAAATAAAATGATTTTTTAGTCACTGAATAGCTAAAATAATATACCCTTTTTTCAATATCACCATGCTGCAATTGAACAAATCGAGCACTGATTGCAGCTATATAACTTTGCTGATTTGAAAATGCAACTCGGCCAGCACCCTTGGGGTATTTTAACTCCGGATCTGTATCGATACCAGCGTAACATACTCCTCCATATAAACGATCCATGATCATAGCCAATTCGACTGAAAATATTATTGAATGCATTGGTAGATCAGTAAAAAGATATCGCATGCAAATGTAATAGTAATTATTGCAAAAGTCAAGTAAATAATCAAAAATAAGTCAAATAAATTACTAAATACTACATGTAACGTCCCATATCCGGACGTCCCTTTCCTGGAAGGGTCGATTTCCCGAACACTTTTTAACAATCAAAATAAACAAACATCTCTCCATCTTCCCCTTTCCTAAAAAAAAAAAAAAAAAAAAAAGATCTTTTGACAAATTTTTTTTTCTAGCTTGCACTGAACCTCTGATTCATGCATCGAACCCATAAATCACCAGAAAGGGGAAGTGAAGATCTACCAAGACCATTGAGTGACCGTTAGTGACGCTCCTCCCTTGGAATGTAGGAAAAAGAGGGAGATTTGTTTTCAAAAGACCGCAACTGAGTCCCCTCCCCCCCTCCTTTCCCATGCAGGTGGCTAGTAAAAGAGGCATTTCCTGGAACCTTTTTATTGAAAGAAGAAATACTGTGGAAAAGGGTAAACGGGGCAAGCGTTAAGGTGGAGGGGGAGTCAAAATGGAAAATTTGAATAGGTCTAAAAGGATACACGTCCTTGAGAAACAAAACATTCGTTCTTCCCCATACCATGTAATATTTAGGAGGCGGGGGGAAAAGGGGGTAACATTCTTTCTTTAGCAGATTCTTTCAGTCATAGAAGAAAAAATAAAGAGAACCCGATCAGCGTGCCCCGCCTTTATGCTTGATTGATAGCCAATGATTGGAGAGAAAACAATAATTTGTTACTTCCCCACCCTCAACTTAAATGATCTCCTCTTTACACTTATTTTCTTTCACAAATAAGGAGGAAATGAATTTTTCTCCTCCACCTACCCACCTTAATGAATGACGGGAATTTCCCTTTCTTGCTTGAATCATTCTAGTTAAAAATGGCGGATTATTATTTTCATATGTCAATTTTTTTTCGTTTTCTATATTTTAAGCAATAATATTTTTTTTCTAATATTTCATATTTTATTGATTAGATATTCTAATACTAAAACATTATTCCCCTTAAAAATAATGTTTATTTATTTTTTGCTTCTTAGATTTAGATCATTTTAAGCTTTGTTCCAGAATTTCCCCTTCCTGCTTGAATCGTTCTAGTTCAAAATGGCAGATTAATATTTTCGTAACGGCTAATTTTTTTTCGTTTTCCATATTTTCAGCAATAATATTTTTTTTCTAATATTTTATATTCGATTGATTAGATATTTTAATGCTAAAACATTATTCCCCTTAAAAATAGTGTTTATTTATTTTTTGCTTCTTAGATTCAGATGGTTTATTAAATCATTTTAAGCTTTGTTTACCTTGGGGGTGTATTATACGGAAAAATCTATTATACGGACTTCTGGAAGTCCCACCGATTCCGGATACGGGACTTTACACTGTATTAAGAAAAATCATTTTTAAAAAAAGTTAGATTAGTTAACAACTCACAATATGAAAGCATCATTAAAAAAAACTTTCCAAAATGTTTCATAAAAAAAATTAAACATATATTAATACAGGGTTCCTACTTCTTTAGCAAAGCAAACATTAAGGACTTTTTTTTTGAAAAAATTAAAGACTTTTTTGAAAAATTAAGGACTTTTTCGAAAAATTAAGGACCTTAAAAATAGTATGATTGTTTATCATCGAATATAAATATATCCACCAGTGAAAGTGAAAATTACTTACCGTTCTTAAAAAAGAAAATCAATCAATAAAAAAAATTATAATTGTGCAAGTACTGATATAATAGCATTAACAGAGCTCACCAAAGTAGAACCAGGCAATTTTTGCAAACCCGGGTCAGGTTTTTTAAAAAATATTTTCAGATTGTTAAGGGTTAATGACATCTATGAAACTAATCCGTATTTCATTTTTAATGATTTCATTAAAACTGGATTGTAAAATTAAGTGCAGAAATTAAGATTTGCAATTTTTTTTATATATTTAAAAAAAAAAAGAGTAAATAAAGAAACTTGGGCAAAACATTGAAAATAATTATATTACAAGTTTTTATATTCCGCTACTAGACATGCATCACATATCCAGTTGTGGATCAATTTTGCTAAATATTTAGTTACAACAAAAAAATTCTTTCTTTTTTATTAATAAAATGTTTTATTTATCAAGATATATATTAAAAGAATTAATACGTTGAACTAAAAAGTTGAATTAGAGTTATGCATGAGAGTAGTTTTCCTAACTATGTCCTAATTAAGTCCTATTTCAAGTAAAAACAAGCCCTATTAATATCTAAGCGCCTTAAATCATTCCACTTTTTTTTCATTAGGCTTAACTTAGTATTTTTTAAAAATTCATTGCATTAAATTTTTTTATGAAAATTTTTACAAAATAAAAATACAATTATGTTAGAGAAGATTTATAATTTATGAACCTATATGTTTTTATTACAGGGTGCATAACCAAATCTTTAAACAAAAAATAAACACATTTTAAGTACTTTTTAAGTACTCAAAAAATATTTTTAAGCACTATATCGATATAACAAAATGCAAAACAATTTTCAAAGCCTTTACATGATCATGATAAAATAACTAGCTTCTGACAAAGAACTATTTTTCTTGACTATATAAGCTATATTAAATGCTCGAGAGCCTGAAATTGAGAATATCTCGCAAAATGCAGCAGAGTTGCATAATGGTGCAATAATCTCACCGAACCCAACTCAGTAGACGCATTTGCAGACTCCCAAGTATTTCATTAGACTTGTAACATGAGTGGCGCTTTCATACACTATGGAACGACGGTACGCCGAAATAGATGGTGGTTGAATGAATTGTAAAAACGTTGAAATGTGAAAAGCGCGCTTTTGCAAAGACGAAAATCGACATGGTAAAAAAAAAAAAATCTAATTTTCAAAAAGGGAAAATCAAGCACTTTATAAAAACACCCAATGAAAAAAGCACCTTTAAGGGCTTTCAAAAAGCAAAAATAAGCACCTTTAAGCACTTTCTAAAAACACTACGCACCATGTATTAGTTGTCAGTGAAACATACATAACTCAGTGAAAAGGGTCTAAAACAATATTTCAAAGGTATGAGCACATTCCTATGGCCAGAAAATTAATAAGGCTTCTTAATTAACAAAAATTGATAAATTATTCATTTTCATGATTTATAGATATTTTCTTATAGTATTTCTTTATCATCCCTTATCATTCTTAATATTATTCTCTACTATTATTATAATTTGATGTTTTATTTTGATCGCAAATTAAACTGAAAGTTGTATTCTTTTATTATAAAATTATCATGTAATATCAGTTTATCAGGTAACATTTTGTAAACATATATTGAAAAACTTCACGAAAAGCATATTGAAAACGGTATGTAACTTAATCATTTTGAAATTATTACTAAAAGCAAATGTGCTACATTTACTTTTACAGTGAGCTTCACATAAAATTATTTCCAGCCAAAACTGTTATGTTTACATAATATTACTAAACATTCCGACGAAAAACATGAACTAATTTTAAAGCAACCAAAAGTAAAATAAAATTTTTTTAAAAAAAACAACATATTCTGATAGACATTAATAACAAAATGTTTGGGATCTTTTAATTGAGAAGATTTAAATTTTTATGTAACAATCTGCCTATTCTTAAGAAATACAAATAATGTAACAATCTAAAAAATTTACATTGTAACAAAATAAGTTATAGTTACCAAATATTTAACTTTCTTGTTAGAAGCAAATCATGCATTCTTATTTAGTACTCAGGAATAAAAATTGTAAGTTATTTTTCAAAAAATTTGGGACTTTTTTTTATCAAAAACCCAATAAACCCTAGGTTTTTGATGAAAAACCAAGCTGGGCTAGGATTTTTCAAATCCTGTTTATTACAGACCTGTTTAATTTTTAGCACAATCATGAATTTTAAAAAAATGTTACTGCTTTCTATAAATTTAAAGTTACTTATTACACATTTAAATATTATACAAATCTATTTAATTCAAGTTTTTTGGGAATAGTTCTTGTCATGGATTCCAGTTAAAAAAAAATTTCTGAAACTTTCTTTCATAGGGTTTTACTTTGTTCCTATAAACAGATGTGTTACCAGTGGAGCTGTTCTTGAATTCTGTCGATTTTGAAGGTCAGTGTGGTTCTTTTACTTAGGTACCTTAGAATTCCCCCCTCAAAGCACAATCTCTTCCATGTGCAGTATCCCCTTAGTCCACACTCTATTCTTTTCCTTTGGAATGCTTCACAATCCTCAGGAGTATCATTCTAGAATCATGAGTAAAATGCTCTACCCTCCATGCATGTTCTAATTCTAGGTGATAAGAGAACGACTATATGCTTTAAAAAATTTAACTCAAAAATCATTCCTTTCAACTATAGTGATGCTGAAAAATTAAGGACTTTTAAAAACCTTGTACCAAAATTAAGCAGTTTTTAAGGATTTTTAAGGACCGTAGGAACCCTGTAATATAAAATTTGAAACTTCAAAAACATATATGATGTGTCACTACTTATTTTTTTACAGAATACAATTAAAAACGTGATGTGGATATTTTTAAGGACCGTAGGAGCCAGGTAATATAAAATTTGAAACTTCAAAAACACATATGATGTGTTACTACTTATCTTTTTACAGAATACAATTAAAAACGAGATGCGAATATTAGGCAACTTTTTTCTTTTTTAGATCTAAAGTCATCGTCAAATGGTATTATTATAAGCACATAGGTGAAACAAAATAACAGAGATTTCACTAACGAAATTTTTTGACCATTATTAATAATGTTTTCATTCTCGTTTTTAATAATGTTTTAACCATTATTAAAAACGAGATGCGAATATTAGGCAACTTTTTTCTTTTTTAGATCTAAAGTCATCGTCAAATGGTATTATTATAAGCACATAGGTGAAACAAAATAACAGAGATTTCACTAACGAAATTTTTTGGGCTTTGAGTAAAGTTTTGATACATCATGCAAGTCAAAATTGGAAATAATAAAAACAATAACATTTAGCTAAGTAAAAAATATGTATATAAATCTTAATCAAAAGAAGATTTTGTTTAAACCATTATTCATAATTATAACTATAAACACTCAACATACTGCAGTAGTAGCAATAGCACCATCTGTTGAGGAAATAAGAGAAGTATTTTTGCTTTTAGCGGATATTTTATCGCCAATTTAAAAAAAAAAATTTCTTCAACAAATACAGAGAAATTTTAGAATATATGGATAAACAGGAGACAGTCGTAAAATACAGTAGTTTTTTTAATAAGCAGGAGACTTGGCAGGTACGTAAGCAGTATTCTGTAAAATATTTCTGATTTCAAAGTTGATAACCCATTAAAGAATATGTGATCATATTTGAAAAATCCAAAGCTAAATAGATATTCCAAATAAATTTTTATTTATTTTCAAAAGAAAAATAACATTCTTCCAGTATTCAAAAAAATTGACAACAAGGACTAAATTTAAAAATTGGATCATACATTTATCACATAATATGAAAGAGGCATTTATTATTAATCCTAATCTTAAATAAAATATTGCTCAAACAAATAAAATAAACAAGAGAATTACAAACCTGCTTTAAGAGGACGAGGAACACCTCCAACAAAAACTGTTTTTCTGGGATCAAGAGGCATAGATGCATCCAACACAAAATCTGCATCACTTAATCGCCATGGACGAATCTGAACCTGTTGATTAAGTACAATAAAAATGAAAAATTAACAAAGAACATAATTAAATTCTTTTTACCTTAATACATTCGCGATTGGAACTGATGATGGACTTCGTGCAAAAAAAGGACAAACCTGAATAACTTTTGATCTGATGATTGGATTGTCACGCTCTAGGACTCAATCGAGGGGGTGACCTCAAATAAGCCTATTTGTTAGTGCAGATGATAATTTAAGTTACAAAATCAGACACAAAAGCACATTTTCTCTGAAAAAACATACCTTTTTTGATGGATTCAGATTTCTGAACACCTAAATTATAGAGGGTAGCCGCAATCTGGGAAATATGATCTCTCTAGTTTGGTCAGGAGAGCAGTCCTAAGTTTGAACCTTTTCAATGCAAATTTTACTTTTTGAATATTTTGCCATACCTTGAGAACTTCTTAAGTGAATTGAAAATTTTCTGCACACAATTATAAAAGTTGTTAATCCAAAGATAATTCCATGCAAAAAATAAAGTTTAGGAAATACTATTATTTTTTTTAATAATAGTTGAAAAATTTTTGGATTGAAAGGTAAACAGTTTTTGCACCATTTTCAAGTATGTAATTTTACATGGCAAAATACAAAATTTGGAATAGTTCCCGAGAAATCGAATCTTAGAAATACAACTTTTTTAATATTCGATTTTTCAGAAACTACTTAGCCGATTTCACTCAAATTTTGTTTTTTACCATGTAACCATTTTTGTTTACCATTCCTTAAAGAAAAGAAAAAACTGCATACCTAATTCATTTTTTTACTATTATGAAGAAAAATAATAAATATTTACTGAAAGTTATTTTTTAAATTATCTTTGAATAAATGAATTTTAGAATTGTGAGCAAACTTTTTTCTAAGTTCTGTAAAATTAACATTAAGTGGTCCAAATTTTAGATCATCCTCCTGACTAAACATTGGGGACATAAAAAAGTGATTTTTCATTTCAGTCAATTTTTAGTTTTTTTTTTGTCTTGAGTTTTACTTTCATCCTGCATTTCAGTAAACAAAAATGTTTATATTCTGAAAATTAGAGAAAGAAAATATTATTTGATGATATCATTAATCTGACCATTCCTGATAATGTAATAAAAAATATAGTAAAATAATTATAGTACCGTCCTTCGGGGTGGGGCTACTTTGTGCAGCGGGGGCTACTTTGTGCAAATTCGAATTTGGCATTTTTCAAGTGCTGCTATTCAGTATTATATTTATTTCATGTTAAAAATGTGTGGAATTTGAAGATAGAAATCTCTTCCATTACTACAAACATTGTTTCGAATTTTAAAACAATCTCAGGGTGTGTTTCGTTCATCCAATGTCAACAACTTTCCTAGGACGTCGGATGTCAAAAAGTGTGCGTGGAAACTTTAGCTGTGAAATGCAAAGACAAAACAATTGTCGTAAGTGCAAAATTTTTTATTTATTTATTAATAAACAATTATATCATGCTACCGTTAAAAGAATTTGAAAATTAATAACAAATAAACGGAAAACGAAAAAAAATGCACTTTGGGGCTACTTTGTGCAAAGTTTCATTCGTTTTTTTTTTCCGACAGAAAAATGGTCAGACGTTATAAAAAAATACATGGAACGAGAAACTACCGTGATTACACTTTAGAAAAGCTGCAACAATGTTTGCAAGCAGTTACTGGTGGTATGTCGATTGCAGAAGCTTCTCGGAAGTACAAAATCCACAGAAATACTATCTCTAATAAAATTCACAAGAAACATGTGAAACTTCCTGGTAAACTATTATTTTTCTTCTACAAAGATTTTTCTAATGAATTAATCAAACGATTTAACACATAAAAATATATTTTATAGGACATCAGGTGATTTTGACAGAAACTGAAGAGCAAGTTCTGTCATGTTCATTCAAGCATGTTATGTTCAAATTTATCAATATTATAAATGTTAATGAATATGTAATAATTATTATTTTTGAAATATCATCCATTTCAATGTTAAAAAAAGTATATGGTTTCCTTTTGTTTAAACTCAAATGTTTTGAAATAAACATTCTTTTTAAGAAAAAATTCTTCAAAAAAAATGGTTTTTTAACGCTGAAAATTATTTTCAAACTAATATCTTTACATATCTTGATGTTTTTGTCTTTAAAAATGTCAACAATTAACTTTTTTAACAATTTTATATCAATATTTTACTAAAAACATGATTATTAAACTGAATTCCTATCGCTGCACAAAGTAGCCCCATTTGGGGGCTACTTTGTGCAAGGTATGTTTTGACTTATTATTCGTAAATATTACATACAAATAATGCCAATATTGATCAAATTCAGTCGTCTGAATCCAGTTATGAATATAATATCGATAAATTTTACTAAAGTTTGAATTAACATAGTTTTTTTACATGTCAAAGTTCAAAAACTGCGAAATCCTGCACCAAGTAGCCCCGAATGACGGTAATAAAAATAGAGAAGATATCATAATTTTGAATAAATAATAAAAATAAATAAATACTAATTAAAACATTGTAACAATACAAACATTTGAAAATTACATAAAACGAATGAGTTAAACTATTTTTTTCCATCTAAGCAGAGTAAATTATCTAAGAAAAAGGTAAGAGAGGAAATATTAGAGCTAACAATAAGACTCAGTATGACAAAATTAATGCAATATTTTTCACATTATACAGCCGAATTAAATACTGTGCTGTTTAAAAAAAACTGATTCATGAGCTGAAAAATTTAAAAGGAGCTCTGAGAGTTACAAAAAATATATTTGGTGTTCCAAGTATAATTTTACTAACAGGATTATTTGCTTTAAAAACCTTTAGTTAAATGTCATAGTGCCTACTGGTCCAACTTAGACCTAATATAGTCTGATTAATATAATAATAGCAAACAGCATTAATCTATTATTTGTCATTAAACAATGCCATTGTGCAAGGGCGGTATGTAATATATTCTAATAATGTCAAAAATTCATTTATGAATGATTAATAAAAATTTTAGCAGTTGATTTCTTATTTATTTATTTTTAAGAATTAATAATAAAAATTAGTAAAATACATTGTAAATTCTATGTAATTGTAGTTTCACTGCACTACTTGTAACTTTGCCCATACATTGTTAAGCTAGAGACCGGATGCGATTAGCCATGGTTGAATTTGACGACTTCTCGAAGTCCCATAGAAATCCTTTCCAACAGACACATCTTCATTTTCTTGGAACTTATCCTTCAAACTGCTATTCTTTCTTTTGGATAACTGAGGAGGGGGTAATCTAATCATGCCTCTTCGCTAGGGGACGCAGGTCATCTTCTTTACAAAATCTTTTTTATGTAATGTGTTTATTAATGGTTCATGGGATCACATAATTGCTTTTTGAAATTTTCAAGCAATATGAAAGTATAAGAATGAAATAAAAAATTTCAAATTTTTTCATCTTATTTTTTTTAAAAAATACTTTTAAATGAGGAAAATCATTTACTTATTCGGATTCAAGGTTTATATTTTAATCAATGCAATAAATATGCAGTAGGTAAAAAAGCAAAACAAACAGTAACAATATATTTTTAATTAGATTGACTTTTTGATTTGATTGAACCTTGATTAACGTTTGATTTAATCATATTTTCACGTACAAAGAGTCAATACCATATTTTAAGTTACGAAAATGAACAGAAAAATGCATTCTGTGCTGGATAAACATACAAGTTTGTCTATAGTTTTAGGTTATTAACTTTCCAAATGCGGAAACAGCCGCAATCTGGAAGATATGGTCTGAAGTTATGGCAAAGAGAGAGTTGGAAAGTTTGGGTCCTTTAATTTTAACTTCACTCTTCGATTATAGCCCATTATCTCGAGACCTTTTTGAGTGTATTGAAAAATGTTTGCATAAAATTACAAAAAACATTTTATACACAAATTTTTAAGGACATTTTTTTTAAAATAATAACTTGTTATTTTTTTATTAGTTTATTAAATAATAGTAAAATAAATTGAATTGCATGTTCTACATATTTTTACATCATTTTAATTTCAAAATACAAACTTTCAGAGCAATCGATCATTTAGTTTCTGAGTTATCACATTTTTAAAAAGCCAGTTTGCTTAAAATTTTATTTATCTCGAATTATTCAACCAATTTCATTCAAATTTTGTATTTTGATATTTAAAATTACCTTCCTTAATATTATATAAAAATTTGAATATCTTGCTATTTTATTTTATTTTATCCGTCGTTAAAAAACCGACCCAATTTTCGGGTTTACGACTACTAATGTTCAACTCCATAGCCTTGTAGTTTTGAACCAATCCAGAAGACAAGGAAACTCCTGGATAAGTATACCCCCAGAGGAATTGATTTGTTATGGGAACATGGAGGACTCTGTGACTCGACAGATTTAACGCGCATCAGTCGCCATTTACTACACGGGGATTTCAAAAATCGGGATTTAGAATTTTTCCAAAGCATATTATAAATAAAAATATTAAACATTTTTTAACTATTTAAAACTATATTTTTTGCATGGCATTACCTTTGGAAAAACTAATTTTTGCAATTGTATGAAAAATTTTTCGATTCAATCAAAACGTAAAACGTTCTTGAGATATGACGAGATTAAGATATTATCATCATTATCATTGAGCTATTATTTCGAAGCTATTACTATGCACTAATTAAATAGTCCAAACGATATTTTAAGTTAGGAAATTAGGCATAAAAACGTACTCCGATTAAATATACCTTTTTTCGTCGGATTCGGATTTCTGACCCCCTAAATATAGTAGTTTCAATCTAGAAATATTGTTTCAACAGTTTTTTCAAGAGCGCGCTTGAAAGTTTGGACCCTTTAAAGTTAACTTTTGTTGTGTATTTCACTATATCCCAATTTTTTTGAAGCGAATTGAAAAAGTTTTGCATACAATTCCAATCAGATCAATGAATTCCTATTCGTTTTTCTAAAGATAATTTCATGCAAAATAAAACTTTTAGTAAACATTTA